ATGGTCCAGAGGCCCAAATCCTATTCTTAGACATCTGTTTTCTCCTCAAATCTGCCTGTCTCTTCTGAATGTCCTACCTCTGACTGGCATAAGTGATGAAAGGCTCTGTCCTGGGCCTCTTCTCTTTTCTGTCTGTAATACCTTACTTGTGATCTCATTAGCACCAATGTACTAATTATAGTCTCTAAGCAAATGATACTCAGATCTAGTTATCCAATCTTAACCTCTCTCCTGATCTCCATTCTCATGGTTATAACTATTTGACATTTCAAACTGGATGTCCCATAGACATCTTAAATTTTACAAATCCAAAATTGAACTCCCCAAACCCTCTCCTCTTCTGACTTTCCTATCACTGTCAAGGGTACCACCATCCTTCCAATCACCAGGCTCACAATCCAATTCAGGTGTCATCTTCAACCTCTCTCTCTCTCTCTCTCTCTCTCTCTCTCTCTCTCTCTCTCTCTCTCTCTCTCTCTCTCTCTCTCTCTCCTCTGTGTTTCTCTCTTGTCTGTCTGTCTGTCTGTCTCTCTCTCTCTCTCTCTCTGTCTCTCTCTGTCTCTCTCTTTCTCTCTGCCTCTCCCATCTCCAATCAATTCCCCAGATTATACCTTTGTAACATCTCTCATATACAGCCCCTTCTCTCCTCTATCATGGCTACCACCCTCGTGAGCCCCATCACACCATAAGTCTCTCCCTGACACAGTCCTCCTCTCAGATGTCAAATTGATCTTTCTAAAGCTCAAGTCTGACCATGTCACCTGTCCTCTTCATTAAACACCAGTGACTCCCTATTGCCTACAGCCTCAACTATAAAAGCGTCTATCTGACTTTTAGAGTCCTTTATGAAGGGCTAGCTCCCTCCTGCCTTTCCAGTCTTCTTACACCTTGCTCTCTTCCATACACTCTGTGATCAGTGACACCGCTGGTCTCCTAGCAGTTCTTCACACAGGACATTCCATCTCCCAACTCCAGGCATTTGCACTGGCTGTTCCCCATGCCTGGGGTGCACTCCCTCCTCAGCACCACTACCTTTGGATGAAATCCCACCCTTTCAGGAGGTCTTCCTGAGCCCCCTTAATTCTAATGCCTTCTTTCTGCTGATTATCTCTAATTCATTCTGTCTGTAGCTTGTTCTTACATAGTTGTCTGCATGTTGTTTCGTCCCCCATGAGACTGAGCTTCTTCTTGAGGCCAGAGACTATCTTTCTCCCTTCCTTGTATCTCCAGAGCTTAGTACAGTGCCTGGCACATAGTAGGTGTTTTATAAATACTTCTTATCTTGACTTTAAAAGCTGCTGTTTTTGGTTTTTTGCCTGTATATCCTTAGAGCTTAGCACAGTGCCTAACACACAGCAGGTGCTTAGTAAATGCTTGTTGACTAACTAAGCCTCCCACCCAAGGTGCTGCCCCTCCATCCAGCTCAGAACAGCCAAAGGGAGCATGGACCTCGACCACTAACAAGCGAAACGGCCACATCCACTTAACTAACAAGCGAAACGGCCACATCCACTTAACCAATCCGTCATGCCTCCAGACTGCAGAGATGTTTCCTTTGCTTCCCGTAAGTGCCTAGTATTTAAGAGGAAATGACTACCTTCCGTTTCTGGAGCTTTGCCAAATATAAAGCTAGTCTTGCTTTTCATGAATTATCTTATGCATGGAATAGTTGGCAGGAATGCACAAGCCTTTCTTTTTACACCAAGCTCTGATAGTCGCCTGTTATGAAATTGCTGAATTATAATTCTGATGCAGTCAGAGGCTGATGAGTCTCCCTTCTGTTACTTAGCACAGCAAGAGTAAAGGGGCTCTGGAAATGGAAGCAGTGTGGCTAACTGCTCGGTGCACACTCTATCATGGGTTTAGACCCTCACTGTTGTTGCTACTGTTTGTTTTCAAAGAAGGCCAATGACATCACAGGCCATATCTTGACTCATCAATGGGATTTAAGTGAGGCAGAGTTGCACACTCATCAGCTTCACATTCTTCTCCAGAGTCCTTGAACACCCTCATGGTCAAATATATGATGGAATAGAAGGAGTGCTGACTTTGGAGTCAAAGATTGTTGGTCAGTTGTTTTCAGTCGTGTCTGACTCTTCATTCTCCAGCCCATTTTACAGATGAGGAACTGAAGTAAACAGGGTTACGTAACTTGCCCAGGGTCATACAGCTAGGAAGTGTCTGAGGCCAGATTTGAACTCACAAAGATGAGTCCTCGACTCCAATCCCAGCACTCTATCCACTGCACCACCTTGCTGCCCTCTGGAGGCATAACCTGGATTCAAATCCTGACTCTACTATTTATTCATTGTGTAAGTTTCAACAAATCACTTGATCTCTCTGGGCCTCAGTTTACCTAATCTACAAAATGTGGGAGCTGAGTTAAATGACTTCTAACTAAGGTGGCTTTCAGCTCTGTATCTACAACACCATGCTCTCTCTTCCACTTTCTGGATATAATTCTACCATACACTTTCAAAGACAGAAATAATCGATAGCATCTGTATTTGTTCGAAGGGGCTTCTCACCATTAGTATAGTTAGTGATCAAAATTCTGAGTGGAAAGGAGGCCATCTAGTCCAATCCATAACTGAGTAAGAAGGCCCTTCCAGGGCCATTTGCAAATTGCAAAATAAGACTTGCCCTACTTAGGCACCATCATCACCTAGAGAGAAGAAAAACATGGGCAAGGTGGCAGAAGTCTATCTTTCTAGCTTCTATTTTTACCATGTTTTCTCCTGTGTCTTTTACCTTCTGTATTCACCTCAACAAACATTTATAAAGTGCCTATTGCATGCAGGGCATGATGTTAGGCTTTGGTGATAAAGACCAGGGGGAGGGGGGAGGAAGAGAGAGAGGAGGGGAGCAGTAAGGGAGGGAGAAAGATGTAGGCATAGACATAGACATAGACATAGACATAGACATAGACACAGACATAGACATAGACATAGACACAGACACAGACACAGACACAGACACAGGCACAGACACAGACACAGACACAGACACAGACACAGGCACAGGCACAGGCACAGACACAGACACAGACACAGACACAGACACAGACACAGACACAGACACAGACACAGACATAGACACAGACATAGACACAGACACAGACATAGACACAGACATAGACATAGGCACAGACATAGACATAGACACAGACACAGACATAGGCACAGACGTAGACATAGGCACAGACGTAGACATAGACATAGACGTAGGCACAGACATAGACATAGACATAGGCACAGACACAGACATAGACATAGACATAGGCACAGACATAGACATAGGCACAGACACAGACATAGGCACAGACATAGACATAGACATAGGCACAGACATAGACATAGACATAGACACAGACATAGGCACAGACATAGACATAGGCACAGACATAGACATAGACATAGGCACAGACATAGACATGGATAGGAAACAGTCCCTGCTCCGATGGACCTTACATTCTTTTTGTTGTTGTTGTTGTTATGTTTTGTTTTTGGCTAGGCAATGGGGTTAAGTGACTGGCCCAGGGTAACACAGCTAGTGACTGTTATGTGTCCGAGATTGGATTTGAACTCAGGTCCTCCTGAGTCCAGTGCTGGTGCTCTATCATCACCTAGCTGCCCCTGGACCTCACATTTTTAAAAACAAAAAACTTTCACTGATTCCTTTTGGTTTTGTATTATAGTTATTTTCATATTATTCATCTCTTTTCCCATTTCTAGCCCCAGGGATCCTTCTCTTATAACAAAGGAAAACAATTAAGCAAAAGCAACCAATATAGCAGCTATACCTAAGGGTCTATACCCCATTCCACACCCATAGCCCCCCACCTCTGAAAGGAGGACAATGCATCCTGGTCTCTCCTGGGGGCCGAGATAAACCATTACAATCACATAACATTTGGTTTGGTTTGGTTGTTCTCTCATTTACAATATTATAGTCAATTTGTACATTGCTTTCCTAGGTCTGCTTACATCAGACTGCATGGGTTCATAAAGTCTTCCCATGTTTCTCTGAATTTCTCACATTCGTTGCTCTTTACAGGCAAAATAATAGTCCATTACATTGCTTCGGCCATTCCTCAATCCATTGGCATCCACTTTATTTCCATTTCTTTGTCATGAATATCTTAGCATGGATGGGACCTTCTTTCTGGCTTTGACCAAGGAACTTAGATCCAGCACTTTAAGTAGGATCTTCAATCGTGGAGTTATAGATCTTTTACCAAACGGACAATGTCCAGATTTGGAAGATTTAGCTGAAGTCAGTTCTCCAGGGAAGTGCAGTGTGCTGATTCAACAGCAGTCAGAAATCCTGGCCAGTCACCTGGCTCCTGTTTGGTCTCTTAAGACCTTTCAACCTCTGGGGCGACAAGTCCCATAGGAGCACTGGGACAGCAGGTGGCTCTCATCGGTGACTTGTTCAAATGAAGTCGTGTGTGAAGCCTATGCTATTGGAGCCGTGACATCCTTTGGGCCCCAGAAGGGGAAAAGAACTTCGCCACAGAATTCCCTTGTTCTCCAGGCACTAGGGCAGCTATCGTATGACCTTGGCCGTGTAACTTGGACCAGCTTCACTGGCTTCAAGTTCCTCAACTGTAACATGAGTGGGTTGTTCCACATAGGCTCTGAGATCCCTTCTAACTTGGGATCTATGGCCTGTGGTTCTCTGGGCACAGCCTTATTTCTTTGATAATTTTTATTATTACCTTTTGTCTTTGCATCGCCTTTATTTCCCAAAGTAGCCCTCCCTGCTCTCCCTCCAAAGAGCCATGTCTGGATGCAACTTGAACAGTGGGAGGATTAGTCAGGGCTTGTAGACTTCAAGAAGACCCTGCGTGTCTCCCCTGAGGTGTGCCCCCATCCTCCTTCTCCCACAGTCTGTAGCATACACATGCATGCACATGTACACACACACACACACACACGCATGCACAGACACGCCAAGAACAACTTGTCTATTTTACTTTTCTTTCTCTATTTTTGCAGAAAGAATATTCCCCTCAGTCCAGGTTTCACAATGAAAATGGGAAACATAGTATGAATGGCTCAGGTAAGTCAGAAGAAAAGCCGGTTCGAGTTACCCAGGGCAGAAAGCCCAGAAGAGTGACCTTGTTCTTCCCAGCTCAGAGGTTTAATCCTTTGGAAGGCTCCAAAGAAGAGTGCGTGACCTTTCGAAATGGGCTTTGTCTGACATCTCCTCTTTGGCTCCCCACTTTATTTAAGGCCTGGTTTTTTGGGTTTTTTTCAGTTTCAGACCCTGAGATGGGTAAGTTCAGTCTGAGATTTTATTCAAAACTTCTAACTATTATGATAAAATGTGATTTAACAAATGCATAGAAAACTCCCCTTTTTATAGGAATAGGTACTAGATTTCATTGGTATAAGTAACTCCCAGTCAGGGAAAGTCTTTCCACCAATGCAAGTCAGCACCTTCTGGACAATTTAGGGTCTTAGATAGCTGCTTAGAGCACTGAGGAATTGATTGAGTGATTTGCCCAGACATAGACATGGGCACAGACATAGACATAGACATAGACGTGTCACCTATTATCATTTTCTAACTGTTGCCTGAATTTTTTTCCATTATTCTTTTGGCTTTCTTTTTCTTCTTTGTGTGAAAAACTCATCCTCCAGTGAGTTTTCCTATATTTCTTTGAATTCTTGGGATTGTGGGATCATGGACTGAGATCTATAGGGGGGCATTGTAGGGGACAATGATTTCTGACTTACGGAATAGGAAAGAGAAGGATCTGTAAAAGAGTTGATGTTCACGTTAGGTCACCCTCCCTCCTAGACTGAGAACCGGAAAGGTCACAGAGTCATACATCTAGAGCTGGGAAGGGCCTTAGAGGCCACTGAATCTAACCCCTTCATCTTACTGATGAGGAAACTAAGGACCCCAGAGCTGAAGTGACTTGGCCAGGGTCACACAGCTAGTAAGTGTCTGAGGTAGGATTCAAACTCAGGTCTTCAGGTTCATCATTCCTTATGAAGGAATTCATTCACCCTCCTCTACTCAATTCAATTCAATAATCACTTATTAAGTAGCTGTCCTCCAAAGGTACAAAAACAAAAATTAAACAGCCCTTTCTCTCAAGGAGCATATATTCTGCTGAAGGGGGGAAATTTATACATAGAAAAGTAAATAGGAAAAATATAAAAGCAATTATGAAATCATTTGGTAATTATGATGAAGGATTAGGGGAGGGGAGATTTGGGGGAAGGAACTACCTGTACCAGGTCCTAGTGAAGATGAAGAATGGGGTTGGGGGATGAGGCAAAGGGAGAGGGAGAAGGAGAAACCCTTGATATTGGAGACAGGCATTTCAGAGTGCAGGACTGCGGTGGGGTGCAAGTGGGGGGATGGTGAGACTGAGGATGTGACCCTAGACATGAAGGTTATAAGCCAGGTACCTATATGACATCTCCCTCCCAGGGCTGTGGAGAGGAGCAAATAGAGTGTAAAGTGCTATGAAGACCTTAAAATGAGCTATATAAAACTATATAGTATGTATACACACAGGCTACAGAAATGCTAGCTATTATCACTGAGACAGGACAGACCATGACCTAAAGGATAGTAGAAAAGACGAAGAAGAAGAGGAGGAGGAGGGGAAGGAGGAGGAAGAAAAAGAGGAAGAAGAAGAGGAAGAGGAGGAGGAGGGGTAAGAGAAGGGAGAAGAAGAGAAGACAAAAGAAGGAAAAGAAGAAGAGGAGGAGGGGGAAGAAAACGAGGAGGAGAAAAAAGAAAAGGAAGAAGAAAAAGTAGAAAAAGAAAAAGAACAACAACATTTACATAGCATCTACTATGTGCCAGGCACCGTGCTAAGTGCTTTACAATGATCATCTCATTTGATCCTTACAACAATCCTGGGAGGTGCGTGTTATTATTATCTCCATTCTACAGTTGAGGAAACTGAAGCAAACAGAGGTTAAGTGACTTGCCCAGGATCACACAGTTAGTAAGTGTCTGGGACCAGATTTGAACTCATGTCTACCTGACTCCAGACTGGGAATTCTATCCACTGGGCTACCAATGCATCATCAACCTCATCATCATCATCATCATCATCATCATCATTATCATCTATTATTACAATATAATAATAACAGCTCACGTTTTAAAGGCACTTTAAGGATTTACAAATAGTTTTACATGTGTGATCTCATTTTTCCCCACAATAACTCTAAGAGGCAGATGCTATTATTGTGCCTGTTTTGCAGCTGAGGAAACTGAGGCTCAGAGAGTTTAAATGGCTTGCTGGGGACCACACAGCCAGTAAATGTTTGAAGCAGGATTGGAACTCAGGTCTTCTGGTCTACCAGCGCAGTGCCCTGCCTACTGTGACACCTTTCTGCCTCAATAAAGATTTGGAGCGGGTGGTAAAGATGAGTGGGTTGAGCTCCCAAAGCACAGAGGTTCTTGGTGATAGAGGCAGGGGAGGGTCTGGAAGCAGCTGTAAAGAACAAGGAGAATGCCTCAGGCTCCTCCTGGCTCAGTGTTCCAGGGAGGGAAAGAGGAAGAACACCCAGTACTGGAGAGGGCAGCAAGGAGCACAGACTGCCCTGGGGAGCCAAGTTTCCATGAACACATGAAGATAGAAAGGGGTTAAGTGAAGAGCCTGAGGATATAAGGGAGCTTGCTACTCGAGCAGAGTTCTTCTCCTGTCTTCTTTGGGGCCAAGTTTGTTCTTTGTAATTTTGCACCATTCATTGAAGTCCCCTCCCCAACTTTGCAAAGGTGGGGGAAGGGAAGGCAGGGTCTAGGGGGTGGAGCCTTGAATATATTGGCAGATTTTTGGATATATTGATCTGCTTTGCTGAGCTTTTTGGTTTTTGGTTTTTTTTTTTTACTCTTCTTATTCTTTTAAAAGATTCTTCATTATAAGAAATGGTTCTCTGGGAGGGCTGGGAGGGGAAAAGGGAAGGGAGACAGGGAAATGTAGGCAATGTCAAAACAAAAGATACGAATACAATTAATTTTCAAAAATAATAGAAAGAGGATCTAGCAGGACTGGACAGACTGATGACTATTTGTCCTTTCTGTGGGGGGTGGGGTGCCTGTCCATCCTCACTTCTTGGAGTGGTTGGCTTACCTGGCTAATTTCAAAGAAATGAAGCCCCGCCATGTTAACAGGACCCCTGAATTCCTGACTGCCCCATCTGTCAGAGCTCCACTCTCACTAAAATGAGTTTGCCTTCATTGTGTGTGTATAGATATATATGTATATATACCTATATATATACATATATACTTACATATACATATACTTACATACATACACACACATTTAGTTGCTGTCTAAGTAAGTAAACTAGGTAAACTCTTTCAAGGCAGGGAGTTGGGACAGTAGACAAGGAGCTGGAGCCAGAGGACCCAAGGTCAAGACCTGCCTCTACCACTTACCTATCTGTGTGACCCAAGCCAAGTCACATGTCTCTGGGGGTCTCTGTTTCCCTCCCCAGTCTGAGGAAGGGATCAGGCTGCCCGGTTCCAAGGTTCCTTCTGACTGTAGATGTACAATGCCATGCACTTTCCTCCTAATAGCCCTGTGAAGGGAGGCAGGTATTCCGAGAAGTGGAGGGAGAACATTCCAGGAATGAGAGCGACCTATGCCCAACGCAAGCAGGTGGAAGATAGAACATCATGAGAGGAAACGTCCAAAGGCCATTTTGACTGGGTTCCATTATGGGGAGTAATGTGAGGGAAGACAGGCAGTAAAGATAGGCTGATTTAAATGCCGAGCAGAAGAGTTTGTATTTTATCCAAAAGGCAGTAGGGAATCACTGATGCCTCCTGAGCAGAGCTCTGACATGGTCAGGTCTGTGCTTTTGTGATATCAGTTTGGCAGTTCTGTGACTTTAAGATCCAGAAGATCCCCCAAACTCTGGCTCTAGAGAAATAGAAAATACTTTCTGGCCACACGATCTTGAGCAAGCCAGTCAAACTCTCTGGGCCTCAGTTTCTTTATCTGTAAAATAAGGCAGTTGGATCTGATGGCCTGTAAGTTGATCCTAAGCCCTTTCCTCCCTATAAGGAGAGAGTTTTCCTGAAGCTGCCAAACACGGCTCTGAGAGAGAGCCCCAAACATGGCAGCCTGAGTTTAGATTTACAACCAGCTAATTAAGATGCTCAGGCTACCACCCATTCAAGGGTGAACTGGAGAAATGGAGCCTTCCTGGGATAGGAAAAGATTTCTTTGGCCAGAATGTTTTCCAGACTTTTCTATCAGTAGGAGGTAGGAGGACATATGCTCAAGGTCTCTAAAGAACCCCTAAGCATCCCAAGTTGGTCTTGGAAACATAGAGCTGCAAAGGTCTGCAGGGCCCAGCCTCCTAGAAGGAACAAAGACTCGGAGACAAAGATGGCTATGTAGCCTGTTGTGTTGAGTGGCTGACCCAGGAGAACAGATGCTCTTGGAGGGCAGGGGCCATTTTGGGTTTCTGTCCTTAATGCCTAGTATAGTGCCCAGCAGTCAATCAACAAGCATTTCTTAAGTGCTTGCTATGTGCCAAGCACCGTGCTAAGTGTTGGAAATACAAATTCAAGAAGAAAGATAATCCCTGCCCTCAAGGAGCTCCCATTCTAATGGGCACACCATAGGGGCTTAGTAAATGTTGAATGGGCTCTGTTCTTGAGAAGGAGCCTCCTCTGTGGCATGACCCAGATGAGTTGGGAAAAAGGCTTGTTGACTCTACCTAGCTGCTAGGGCAGTCAACTTCATGAATGCCCTACAAGCCTCTCAAAGTTCTGAAACTGAGGAGGAAGGGCACAACTTGGGAAATAGTTGTTCCTTTTGCTGCGGCTCCAGGCAGAAGCCCCTCCTTCACTCCTGAGACATCAACAATTCAATTGGACCAAAATGCATTCACTGCCTCCTATGTGCCAGGCTGTGTGCTGGAGGAGGGTTCGAGGTGGGGTAGGGGGGGAGACACAGAGACAAGAGAGGAAACCGACCTGGTCCTCAAGGACTTTACATTGTATTCACATCATACTGGACTGTGAAGTTTTGAAGTTTGGATATCCAATGACTTTATCTTACCTGCCTG